GAGAGAAATACTCTGATGCTGTGACTTTAAACGTCATGTGTGAGTCTATTATGCTGATTTTTGGTTTCGATCATTTCAGTTCATACTCAAAATGTTTACACATTTTAACAGGCCTTGTCAATAAATAATTTGATTTTTTTTTTTTTTTCAGATCCTCCCAGGAGTGTCGCCTGGTGCTGATAGGAACGTGATTGTGATCGCAGCAACATCTGGAGGATTATTCATCATCATTATCATCATCATCACCATCATTATAATATGTATAATGTAAAAAAACAAAACAAGATTATATAAACATAATTTACTTACAAACTAATGAATAAAATATATTTGACTATTAATTATATATGAAACAATGAAAAACTTGTGTTTCCTTTTTTGACAGGAAAAGGATAAAGAGAAGATCTACAATACACGAGTATGAGGTGAGATGCTCAAAGAACCACAACATAAAATCAATAAAAGAATAAAATTAGTTTTTCTTATAGCTATATATATATATATTCTCCCTCTTTTCCTGTAGAATGATGATCCCAGTATAAGCACATATATGGCTCTAGACCTCAAGTCCAGATCTACTGGCGTATACGACACACTCACAGTAAGTGAAATATCAAAAATACATGTGCAAAAGAGTTTTTGCTGTCAAAAGCGAGTTCATTTTTCAAATAATCAATGTATTTGTCACGTAGTCTGTCCATCCCACACCTGCTGTTCACCAGCCGGGATCTTCTGAATATGAGAATCAGTCTGTAAGTGTGAGATCCACAGGTCTTTTATACCGGTATTGTGCCTGTCATGTGCTGTGTTATTTTGTACACTCTTCATATTACAGTCCTGCAAAGATGACAGAAAAAAAAATTGCAATTGTTGTCCTGTGGAAAAACATATGAGCAGCTGCGTTTTAGATCAAACATATGTGACCCTGGACCACAAAACCAGTCATAAGGGTCAATTGAGGGGTCTGAGATCGTTTGGAGTGTTCACATATGGGCCAAAAATCACGCGAACCGTGCTCAGACCCCTGAAAAGGACCAAGTGTGAAAACACCCTAAGGGTGAGTCCTCTTTAAAATAACCGAACCCAGACCCCTTTAAGTGGACCAAGAGGTGGACCAAGTGAAAAAGGATCCAGTTCTCTTTGTGTTCACACTATCGCAGTTCCTGAAAGAGGACTCGGATTCCTTTGTTGTTCCACTTTAGCAGTAATGGGGTCTCAGACCTCTTTGTGTTCATACTGTTTCTTTTTGGGACCCAGTCTTCTTCCAGTGCTGTGCATTATGGGTACAGCAACAATATGCAAGATTGCTGACCCTAAGCATGTGCTCATTTTCCTGCACAACATGTTTTTATTACAAAAGAGAAATAGAGAACATAATAAAAAAATCAAAGAAATCAAGTCACAACACAGTCAACAAATGCAAAAGATAAATATAAAAATAAGGCGAAAACAACTCTTTCAGAAGCAACACTGTTTATCTCTGGGACTTTAACTTATGATGCACTCTTCCGTCATGCTGACAACTGAGCTGTCTCCCAGAAAGGTTAGTTTTCTCACTCATATTTCATTGTTTGATATCATACTTTTGAGCTAAATAGCGTACTATTTTGTGATTTTACCATTACATCACAGTTTCATATAACCATTCCTGTTAAATATTTTTAAAGATCCTGTTGGACCAGAAATCGATCATGCCTTTGGTGGGAGAGCACAGAGTCTTGGTCTGACTCTGACTGGCACAGAAATTTCAGGATGAGTAGAGAGACATTCCTGTTTATACGTCATGAACTAAGACCTCATCTCCAACGAACTACAACACGCTACAGAAAACCTTTATCAGTGGAGAATCGAGTCGCAGTGGCTTTGTGGAGACTATCTACTAACACAGAATACCGGACCATCTCGCACCTGTTTGGGATAGGAATTTCTACTGTATGCATAATTACAAGAGAAGTTGTGCATGCAATTGTGCAAGTTCTGATGCCAAAGTTTATTAAAGTGCCACAAGGAAATGTTTTGAGAGATATTGTTTATGGTTTCAGTGACAAATGGGGTTTCTCCCAGTGTGTCGGAGCCATTGATGGCACCCATGTGCCCATAATAGCACCTCGCAAAACAAAGGCTGATTTCTACAATCGCAAGGGTTATTATTCAGTACTGTTGCAGGCTGTTGTGGACCATAAGCTGCAGTTTTGGGATATTAATGTTGGTTGGCCTGGAAAAGCGCATGATGCACGTGTTTTTGCAAATTCTAGCCTTTTTAGAAAAGGACAGTCTGGGAGGCTTTTTCCAGCATGGACTGATGATTTTCAAGGTGTACCTGTACCATTAACAATCATAGGTGATGCTGCTTACCCTCTTTTGCCATGGTTACAGAAGCCATTTGCAGAAGGGCCAGGTCTGACTCAAGCTGAACAACAGTACAACTACAGATTAAGGCGAGCAAGAATGTGCGCTGAATGTGCTTTTGGTAGACTAAAAGCTCGCTGACGATGTTTGCTGAAGAGGAATGATCACAGCACCAACGGCATCAACACAGTGATTGCTGCTTGTTGCACTTTGCACAATATATGTGAGAGCAGAGGTGAAGCATTGGAGCCAAATCTCATTGATGACAATGACAACGAAACAGAAATAGCCAACACAGAAGAGGATGAACCTATTGCAGATGATGTAACTGGACAAGACATATGCAGAGCACTAGCTTTAAAGTTGACCTAATACAAATTGATGGGAATTCTAAAATGGAAATATGTTAATGTTTATTATCTGAAAAATAATCTTAATTTCTTACATTTTTTGTTATATGTAATTTTGAATATATGTAAATTAATGAATGTTCAGCAGTCCCTTTGGCAAAACATTTTTTTTCTTTCTTTCTATGTAATAAAAACAAACTTGTTTCCCCCATGATAAATACTGATAAAAATGATACGTAATTATTAAATAAAAGCCTGCACTGCTTAAAAGCTGTTGTAAAGCACTTTATTGGCACAGCACATTGTACAGTAAAATTGCAAAACATAAAGAGTTTGTCAAAATACTGCATATTATCAACAAATATAGAACTTTAACAAAAAAATGTAATACAAAAAAACCTTATTTCATAGAATATAACAGAAACATTCTTAAAATAAAAACATTATTAGCTGGTTATAAAGCAGTATTAAAAGATTAAACAATTTTATAAAAATGAAGTACCGGTATTATAAAGTGCTCAGACATTGTCAAACGTTTAACTATTCAGAACTGTGGTAAACCATTACTTATGAGCAGTACCCGCTGTAGAAACAAAACTAATTGTCTGGTCATGCGTGTTAACAAGTGGAAAAAGTATTTCTCTCAAGAACAAACAACTCCTTTAGAACAAAAACAACAATCAAGGAAAATTCAAAAGTTGTTCAACTCATGCAAGACAGAAGACAGTGTCTGCACACTACTGCTGGCACTACTGGCTTCTTGGGTAGTAACTGTAGCACTTGGTTGGTGTATTTCACTCAAATTATGATAAGATGGTTCTTCGTTTGGATGGGTTTGAGAGAACATTTGATTGGGGAACAATTGTGTGTGCATAGGTGGAAAAGTGGGATTTACAGCAGCGCTCATCACTTGACATAGCATCCTCATCATAGCCTGATCATGTTCTATCTGTGCACGGTGTCTCCTCTCTTCCATTTCCATTTGGAGCCTGTAACGCTCTCATTCCAGCTCCAATTCTCTCTGGTGCCGTTCCTCTTCTTTCAGAAAAAAAAAGCTCATGGTCTTTCTTCTGCTGTTCGATGACTGAGGAAATCAAAGTGGTAATTTGCTGTAGAGAACTTTTCCTCTCATCTTGGTTGGATTTGGTACCCTTTCTCTTTGCTTCAACTGGATGACTGCTTGAAGTCTCTTCAGCATTGATATCTACTGCAGACACACGCATGCTTGAACTGGAACTTTCATCCATAATGCTGCTGTTGTCATCATTCTCTAATGAAAGATGATATGCACAATAGTTAGGGCAAAATATAGGCAACAAAAATACATTTGATAGAACTTGTTCATGTTACACATCTATTTCTAGGCTCTCTTCCTGACTGTTGTTTAATGGACAGCATTTGTGGCATATTGTTTACTTTAACACTCTTTTAGAGTGGGACCATATATGATCCGAGCAGTGTTAATTTAACACTCGGGAATTTACTGTGTATAGTTCTCCTTCCAAATTTGTAGAAGTGCATCCGTTTCCTCATCTGTCCATAATATTCCTCTTCCGGCAGCAGTAGCCATGTTTTGAAAAGCGCGATTTGTACGGAGACATGTAAATAACAAACTAAAGAAAATTCACGAATGGAAAAAAACAATTGAACCAGGAGCGATTTGTGTTCACAATGCCCGTTTTTAGCAAACCGTGTCAATATCTCAAAGCGAACCGTACTCAGACCACCTCCCAACATGGTCTCGGTTCGGTTCGCTTCTGAGGGGTCTGAAATCGTTTGGAGTGTTCACATATGGGCCAAAAATCACTCGAACCGCGCTCAGACCCCTGAAAAGGACCAAGTGTGAAAACACCCTAAGGCTGTCTACGTTGGATGCAATGAAGCAATTTTTATTTGATTTTTTTTTTATTGCATTTTTTTTTTTCAGTGTTGGGTAAATACTGGATTTCTGTCAGAACCACTATCATCAAAGATGACTGACAATTAGCATACAGTTTGGACTGGCGGCATGGTTCTGTTCTGGGCAACAGCTGGTTTAAAGGAGGAAGGTTTGTAAGATCTGGAAGAATCTACAGCGTCTCAAACATCAGCTCTGATCACAGTGGAGAATACAAGTGCAAGTCCATCAATGAACATGGAGAGAAATACTCTGATGCTGTGACTTTAAATGTCATGTGTGAGTTAATGATCATCTGCCCATTGTTTAAAATTTTCTAATATTTATTGTGAATTTTCATGTTTGTTTGTTTGTTTGTTTGTTTTTTAGACCCACCCAGGAGTGTCTCAGTGTCCATCAGTCCATCTGGTGAAATAGTGGAGGGAGATTCAGTGACTCTGAGCTGCAGCAGTGATTCAAACCCTCCTGCAGAAATCAGCTGGTATAAAGGAGGTACATTTGTAAGATCTGGAAGAATCTACAGCATCTCAAAGTTCAGCTCTGATCACAGTGGAGAATACACGTGCAAGTCCAGAAATAAACATGGAGAGAAATACTCTGATGCTGTGATGCTGAGTGTGATGTGTAAGTGAATGATGATGCAAGGACTGACAATAGATCCATTAGTTCCAGTTTGTTTTATCACTGTTGATGAGATGTTTAATTCTTTCTATTTTAGATGCTCCAAGAAATGTAGTGGTGTCCATAACTGGATCTGGTGAAATAGTGGAGGGAGATTCAGTGACTCTGATCTGCAGCAGTGACTCAAACCCTCCTGCTCTGAACTTCAGCTGGTTTAAGGAGAATCAAAGCTCAGCTGTTGGATCTGGACAGAGTTTCAGTGCACTACAGAGTGGACGCTTCTACTGTGAGGCTCACAATCAACATGGATCTCAGAGATCAGACGCTGTTACTGTCACAGGTGAAGCTTTTATTAACACACTCCTGTATCTTCACATCATTCATCAGTTTGATAATTATGATGATCTTCATCTTTCAGTTCATCCTGGTGCTGTTAGGAATGTGATTGTGATCGCAGCAATATCTGGAGGATTATTCATCATCATCATTGTACTATTTATAATGTAAATTAAATAATAAAGAGAATTTAAATATCTTCTTTTAAACTAATGTAAAACGGTTATTTGATTATTAATTATTTATGAACCAATTAAATTACTTATGTTTCCCTTTTTGACAGACAGAGAAAAATGATGAATAGAAGATCTGCTATACATGAGTATGAGGTGAGATGATCAAAGAACCACAGAATAAAATAATTTAAATAATAAAAATTAGCATTTTCCTACATGCAGAGATGTGTGTGTGTGAGTGCATCTTTCTTTCTGTTTCCGTGTAGAATGATGTTCCCAGTTCCTCATATACAGCTCTTGATCCCAGGACCAGATCTTCAGACCAGTACAACACAATCACAGTAAGTGAAATCTCAAAAAACTACAGTACATCTGCAAAACATTGTTAATTTCGCTGACAAATCATTTTCGTCATAATTTTCGTCAACAGCATTTTTTTCACAGATGAAAACGAGACTATAATGAAATAAAAACTCATTTTGAATGATAAAAATTATGACGAAAATCTCATAATTTCGTCAACTAATTAAATCAAGATGAAAATGTTAGGGTGGGGCATTTTGGAAAGAGATCCAGTCAGAACGAATCTCCTGCATGGTTGGGAGGTTAGAAGCGCACATTTGAGCTGTACTCAGGCCTGGCGCCACGAGGGGGCAAAAGAGCGCATTTCCCCCTCAGATCTGATTTGTGCTCCCCCAGGTTCAATTTGTCCCCTCTCCACCGCCGAAAGTACTTTTCATATATCACAACTGTTCAGTGTTTTGAACCACATAAAGTTTATTTTAGGTTTCAGACATTTAAATCCACATTTAAATTAAGTACTAGCAAAAATACATTTATAGTTTGTTAAATACACACTCATATCTAAGGAAAGTGAAAATAATCATGCTTTCAATTTGACTAACGTGTTTTATTCATATAAAATACACAATGTGTCAATAAAGTTTGCTCTATCCTTCTCCCAGTTCATTGGCCACTTACTTTATTGTATCTAGGAGAAATGGGTGAATTTACATGATGTTAATCTGACAGATCTGATTCTCTGAATTGCGGTGCAAACATGGCAGCGTCCAGCAAAAGTGCGATGCTTCAAAGGGTTAAAATCGATCAAGTACACTAAACTAGACTAAAACTAAAACAATTCAGATGACTAAAATATAACTAAAACCAAATGGCAGACTAAAACTAAATCAAAATTAACACTGGTGCAAACAAGTTTGTGCATTCAAAAGTCAGGTAATAAATATGTTTGTCACATAGACTGTCCATCCCAGACCTGCTTTTCACCAGTCAGGCTCTTCGGAATAAGAATCTGACAGTAAGTCCCCCATCGATACTTCACTCGTACTGTGTCGCTAAGACACTACGGGGGAAAACTCCTTTTTCTCCGATGACTGAAGCCTTTTTTAATAACGCAGTGTAACTGCATGGCCATTGGTTTGTGCAGTGATATAAAAAATCGAACCAATCGCTCGGTAGTGGAGCAGGCGGCTGGTGGATCTTTGGCTATATAAGCGGGCCTGTTGCCATAGGATCCTCGGATTTCTTCTCCTTCAGCGATGACGACGATCTTCGCTGATCTATGAGACTCAAACCTGCTTGCCATAGAAACGCCTTGCAGCGGAGTAGTGAGTACGTTGCCTGTCTGGGCAGCCCCCACACAGAGAGACGGAATACTCTCACTAAGAGCATGAGTCCCGCCCTTCTCCACACGTGCCCCGCCTTCTTTAATGAAGACAGCCCCGCTCTCTCTTTTCTCCTCTCTCAGCAAGCTCGGAGAGAGAAACAGCGGAGCCACGGGGCTGAGCAACCGGGTTTGAGTGATTGCACGCCGGCACAGAGCCCACGTGCCTGCTCTCCCCACTGCACTTTGATCCGCCGGTGTGTTTTACACATGAGAATCAGCGCCCCCTCGCTACATCGAGCGGCTCTTTCCTCCTAGGCGGATTGGAGCAGAACACTGTCCCCTCTCTATCGCTGACAGTTTCGCATTGTGTGTGCGGTTCTGAGTCTGCGCCCGGACTGGCTGCTTTCTCTCGAAAGCCTCAGTCTGTCCCTGCTTCACTCGCCAATCCCTCCAGCTCTCATGTTTCTCCCACTCCCAGTTAGCTCAGAGGAAGAAACGGCCAACTTGCGGTTGAGCGACCAGGCTTGAGTGATTTTACGCCGGCACATATCCCGCATGCCTTATTTGATCTGCCAGTCTGCGTTACACAAGAGGATCAGCTCCCCTCATTACATCAAGTGGCTCAATCCTTCTAGGCAATTGGAATGGATTGCTGTCACTGACAGCTTTGCATTTGTATGTGCATCGCGGAGGCTGCGCTCACTGAGACGGGCTGCTTTCACTATGAAAGCGTGCGTCTACACCTGCTCTCTCGTTTCTCCCCTCCCAGTTACCTCGGAGAAGGAAACAGCGAACGCTCGGGTTTGAGTGATCGGGCCTGAGTGATTTTCATCTTTGATCTGCCAGTGTGTTTACATGTGAGGATCAGTACCCTCACTTTGTTGAGTGGCTCAATCCTTCTAGGCGGATCTAAGTAGAATGCTGTTACCAATGATTTCGGCTCTCACTACAAGCGTGTGTGTCCCGCTCTGCTGCACTCGTGGTTCGCCGCCTTCAATGAAGGTGGCCCCGCCCCTCCCCTCGTCCGCTACGAGCAGATTTGAGAAAATGCGCGCAGCTCCTTTGATCTGCCGGTGTGTTTACACATAAAGATCATCAGTACCCCTTTTCTAATGAGTGGTTTTGATCCTTTTAGGCTTATTGAAAGGGAATGCTATCGCTAATGATTATTATCACTGACAGCTTAAGAGACGCGCCCACGGGGACTGACTGCTCTCGCTACAAGGAGCATTGAGTCTAGCACCCCCAAACGGCCTCTGTTATGCCTCCAAGCACCCCGTTCAGTTCCGGGTGCCGACGGCAATGTGTTTGTTGTAAACTCTGTTGTGAATACTGGGCCCATTCAAAGAGTGCCCACATGATCGGTCGCTGTTATAGCGAGAAAAATAAAAACACTCTCGAAAGAAGAGCAAATTTCCTCTTCCACTTATCTCGAGTGTTGAGTCCCCACAAGGTGACTTGCCTCACGAACCAATTCAACCCCTTGTCGCGAGGGCAGAGGCCTGGCAGGCCATCGCCAGAGTGTCAGGATGGGTTTTGAGGATAATAAAACAACGTTATAGACATGCAATTCCGCGACGTGGTTCCCACCTTGGTTCGGATGGCAAAGACGCAAACGTCCTGTGCTCCAAGGTGATGAATTTACTGGCGAAAGAAATGGTTTCCCAGATCACAGTCGCTACTTCCTCGTCCCCATAAAGGATGGCAGCTTACGGCCCATCCTCAGTCTCAGACACCTGAACCGTGCCGTCATGAATCGGCCGTTCAGGATGACTACTTTGAAACAGATCCTCTCGCAAGTATGCCCAGGGGACTGGTTATTTTTCCTGGACCTGAAAGACGCGTACTTTTACATCCAGCTAGCCCCCCAGTGAGTGACATATCAATACATGGTCTTTCCATTCGGGCTGTCCCTGGCTCCCTGCACTTTTACGAAGTGCATGGACGTGGCTCTTTCCCCTCCAAGACAGAGTGGAATCCGTATTCTGAATTACCTCAATGACTGGCTCATCTTAGCCCAGTTGGAGGACAAGCTACTATATAACAGATCCTTTTTCCTCAGCCACTTAGAATGCCTGGGGTCATGGTCAATTTTGCCAAGAGCGCTCTGTCTCCTAGCCAACGGATATCGTTCCTGGGAGCAGTTTTTCGACTCTGCCCAAATAAGGGTGACAGTCACGCCAGAACGTGCACTGGCTATTCAGCAGCTCGTGACCTCTTTCAAAATAGGAGCCTCTCGCCCCCTCAAGACGTTTCAGAAGATGCTGGGTCTCATGGCCTCTGCATCTCCGGTGCGACAGCTGGGCCTGCTTTGCATGCGGCCTCTTCGGTACTGGCTGAAACCGCTAGTTCCGTCCCACGCCTGGCGTCTCTGATGCCTTCGTATCAAGTTGGACCAGGCCTGTGCGGCAGCTCTGGGACCTTGAAAAGATTCTCAGTGGATGGAACAGGGTGTGCCCCTGGGAATGGTCGGCAGAAGGAAGGTAGTCTCGACAGATGCTTCCAACACAGGTTGGGGAGTGCTGTGCGACGGCAAACCGGCTTTTGTCCTCTGGTCGAAAGAGGAAGGACGGCTGCACATCAACTGCCTTGAGATACTGGCAGTGTGTTTGGGCCTTCGCAACTTCTTGTCAGACCTAAGGGGACACCACGTCCTAGTCCATTCGGACAGCATGACGGTGGTGTCCTACATAAATCGCCAGGGAGGACTCTCCTCGAAGTGCCTCTTTATTCTAATAGAGCGCCTCCTGGAATGGGCTCAGCTCAACTTGCATTCGCTGAGAGCGATGCATGTGCCGGGCAGGTTGAACCAAGGAGCGGACATGCTGTCTCGGAGCAATGTCTCCTCGAAAGAGTGGATGCTCCACCCACAAACGTTCAGGATATCTGGGAGATCTTTGGCAAGGCAGAGGTCGACCTCTTTGCCTCAAAAGTCAACTCTCATTCCCCAACTTATTTCTCGAGGGACACGGACACGTTGGCCCACAACTGACCCAACCTCCTCCTTTACGTTTTCCCCCTGATCGCCCTGATCCCACAGGTAATCAGGCGAATCAGGGAACAAGGGCACAAGGTGACCTGTTAGTGGCCCTGCTCTGGAGGAACCAACACTGGTTCGTCAGTCTCAGCTGCTAATAGCAGCTCCATGGCCCATCCCCCTGAGACTAGTCCTCCTTTCTCAGGTGAACAGAAGGATCTGGCATCCCCAGTCGAGCTGTGGGATCTGCACCTCTGGCCTCTCGGTGGTAGCCTGTGAACCTCCCCGAGAGTGTTTTAAATACAATTTCTCAGGCTAGATCACCATCTACGAGATGCCTCTATGCCCTTAAATGGTCGGTCTTCTCCGCCTGGAGCATGACCCGCGGTGAAGACCCAGCTTCCTATGACATATCTCGGATATTGTCCTCCCTGCAAGAGCTGTTGGACAAGGGTCGTTCCCCTTCCACGCTCAAGGTCTACGTAGCAGCTATAGCAGCCAAGTAACCTGAGGATCCTATGGCAACAGGCCTGCTTATATAAGACAGATGGTCCCACCCATTCTGGCAGGCTCCATCGCCATAGGCTCGTGCAGCTCTTTTTTATATCACTGCACGAACCAATGGCCGTGCAGTTACACTGTGATTTCACCAATAAATTCAGTTCTGTGTAAATGTGCTTCACTTGTCTTATTTCTGTTGTAGCCACGTATGGAGACCCCATGGTAAGATGAAGCACAAGTTAAACTTTACTCCACTTTTGTGGCGTCGCTGAACACCCACATCACAACTCATGATGAACAGCTTTTGTATGATTATGTACATGTGCGACCATAGCATGCAATCAATGTTATCTTTTTTTTGTCTTTTTTTTTTATTGCTGTGAGTTGTTGCAAGAATGTTTTTAGACATTTTATTTATGTAATAAAGGGTTGATGTGACTATAATTTCCCACTATTCCTTTTTCAATAGTACTTAAAATGCTAAAATCCAAAGACCGTTTTAAACATTCTCTTTCAAATCTGTAGTTTAGTGTGCATATCAAACTGGCCAAGTTGCGTGATTTCAGCAAGCGTCATTTTATGTCATTCAATGTCACTTTTTTTAATTCTGATACTTTGATGTTAAAATGAAATGATCACACAGCAAAATCCTGAACTGAAAAATGTTGTGGGTTTTGTTAGTAGTGTACAAGATGTTTACATGTATACCGTTTATATCTTTATATCCATGGATATTTTTTGTATGTATATGAATATTGATGCTGTATGTTGTTTGCATTAGATAATTTGATGTAGTTTAGATATATTGAAACCTTAGTGATTTTTTTTTCTATGATTGTTAGATAATGAGGAACTTGACTGCTGTATGTGCAGTAATGCATTTATGTTTGATGTTTTATATTTGAAACTGATGATTAATATTGTTGTTCTCCTTTTGTAATAACCACACCTTGTTCCACATGTTGAGCCATCAATAAAGGAAATCAATGGAATTTTGTGCATTCTTATCGATGCCCCACAGTGATTAGACATTTTACCAAAATTCATGAAACATTCATTACAATATATAAATAAGATACAAACCAAAAGTGAACCAAGATAGCATAGGTACATCTGCAAGATGTCTGTTAAAGATTGATTCATCTGGAAAGCATCTGCTGTGTACAAACATCTGATAGACGGCTTTAAGATGTCAGTTTTGCATACACTCTAAACATAAACATAAACATCTTAAAGACATTTTCTAAATGTCTGTTTGACATCAGATAGGAAACGTCTTATAGACGTATTGCAGATGAGCAAACACTCTAGTCAGTCTTGCAGATGTAAATGCAGACGTCAAACATCTCAGACATCTCTGTGATTCACGTGTGCTATCAGGAAACTTGAGTGTACAATAAAACCTAATATCGAATTAGTGTGGACTTTATATGGAAACTATATCATACTTGCATATTAAATTCAACATACTCTGCAAGTATTCAGAATAGTGAAATTAATCATATTGTGGACTGCTCTTCTATTAAATTGCTTTGTATTATTCACCTTGGTTCGAGTCTTTCCTTTGCATTTAAACACATCTGACCAGCAGATGTCCTCAGTGTGCGGTGTTAAGGCCCAGATATACTCAAAACGAAGTTCCTTTTCGTTCTTCGTTTAGGGGTAAATTGAAGTTCCTGAGCAGTAGTCAACATTTGAAGTGGATCAAAACCTTTCATCAAAGTTCTCCTAATACCTAAACCCAAAATGCATTCTTGTATTAGGACAATTTTAATGAACTTTTTTGATCCACTTAAAATGTTGACTACTGTACTGTTAGTGAACATCCCGACGCTGCCCACTCTGATGAAAGCAAGCGCTTTCCTCTCAGTAACAAAATAAACACAACAAAAATGGAGAAAACAGCAAGAATTATATATATATATATATAAATCTGATCATAGCAATATGGGTATGTTTGCACGAGCTCTGCAAATTAGCACTCCCGTGAAGTCATGTCACGTATATTTACATGGCACTTTATTCAATATATTGCTTAAAAGCAAGCAGCAGTATTAAACATGAAAAACATTTCATCATTTCATCAAAAGCTAAACTTAATTTGCTTCTTTATAGTGGCTATCCACTGCGCGAACATCTCACCTCCAAGGACTCAACAGGCGAAATGAACCCAGAGAAGAGTCCTGCGAGAAAGAAGGCGGAGCCTCAGCGCACACCTCCTATGACTTAATCATCACGGACCAATGGTAGTACGAAGGTGTTTTGCAGCCGGAACGAACTTTTACTGAAAGTTCGCTTTGGCAAGCCGTATCAAACTCCCAAAACGAACACAAATCGAACTTTTCTGTACAAGATGTTTTCCGTTCGAGATGACGTCACATCAGTTCGTTCTTCGATTTCGCTTGAAGTATATTGAGGTCTTTAGAAACAGTGAATCATTTTGAGAACAAATTGATTTGAATGTAAAGAAATGTTCTCACATCACTACCGTTATCAGTGAAGATTCATTTTTTATTGATCATACCTGACCACCTATTTTAGTGTTTCCCACAGGCCCGCCACAATATCAACATTGACTGCAACAAATAGATTTCCCTTTTCCTGTAAAATTTTTATTTTACTATTTAAAATGGGTAAAATCTTACTTCAGTGTAGAGCTGAAGTTGAGCCGTTGACTGGCTCAGCACGTCTCTCTCACATGACGGCGAACGAATTCAAACATGGGTTTTTTTCTCAATATACGTTGCTCTGGGTATAGAGTGGTGGAACTATGATGTCACTTTGTAGGCAA